AGTCAATTACTATAGAGCAATACTTAGTTAAAACACAGAATCTCTAAGTCCCCTCTCGCTCTCTCGCGCGCTCTCCTGGAACTGAGGGTCAAGTGGATGATCGAGCTGATGAAGATCGAGGGGAAATGGGACGCCAAGAAAGCTTGAGCTTCCCTTCTTTTCAGAAGCCTGTGCCGTGAATGATCTGCTCGTGTCACAGTTCTGAAGGTGTCAGGATGCAGCCGTGGGCAGCTCTTAGCAAGTCCAGGAAGCTTGCCAGATGGTGGGTTCAGACATATATTATTCAGACTCTACTAGACGGTACCTGTGCCCACATCGTGTTTGTTTTTGCGCTGCGCTGCGGTGCACACCTGCCGCCTCTTTTTAACTGGAACGTCTCACACCTCACCGCTATAGCCGCTAGCATGGTGTTGACCTGGAGCTAGGCCCCTTTGGCCGCCAACCTCCAGGACGTGGGCGGCACTGCCTCCACAATCCCAAGCTGCTTGAAGCTCTTACATGACAGCCGCACGCCGCACGCCAGCTCCCCGCCTCAAAAAAGAGCCCGCGCTTGAGAGACTCTTGGTTTGGGTAGGAGAGACTCGCTAAGCCCCTGTGTGTCTGCACCCGTCGCAAAGCCACTGTGGCTCTGTCGCTCCCGGCTCTCTCCGTCTGAAGCTCCGCTTCAAAAGTTTGAGCGCTCCGCAGATATGCCTCCCTGCAGTACTTCCATCGTCTAGAGAGACACCTCGAAGTTCAATCTGTTTCGAAGAAGCAAGTGGCGTGTAAACTTGGCAGAAACCTGTAGCATGTCGCATGGAAGGCAGCTCGGGTTTCCAAGTTGAGGCGAGACCCTGCGCTTCGCGCCCCCTCCCCCTTATCATGCATTGACAGATGGAAGAAGCTTACGTCAGCCCCTTTCTTTATGGACTGCAGGTGAGCAAAGATGCGAGTTTGTCATGGGCCTCGGCCTTAAAGAGCCGCCAGCCTGACGTGTTGTGGGAGAGCTCGACTTCCTATAGGTTGGCAGGAGAAGCCGTTGACGTCGAGGATGCCGAGTACCGCAAGCCGCTGGACTTGGTCAGGCGCCGGCTCGCGGAGAGGGCCATGCGCTGTGCGCCGTGCGCTGTCTTCATCTCTCGCTCTCTCCGGGAGGCAGCTGGCCCGGGATCGCTGGCATCTCTCCGAGGCCGAGTCCGGAGCGGAGAGCGCCGGAGAGAGAGAGAGAGAGAGCAACGCTGCGAGAGCTTGTCTTTTGTCTTGTTGTGTCTTTCGTGGTCTGAGGACCTGATCGTTCTCACCAGCGGCGGAGGAACCTTGAGCGCGCGGCCGAGCCGCCCACGTGCCACGCCGTGCACCATGTGCCCATGCGCCACGGCTTTCGGAGCCTCCCGCAGGTGATCACTCGCGCAGCGAGGCAACAGAGCGCTGTGCCGCCTTCAAGTGTCGCCCTCTGCCCGGCTCGCCTCAGGATGTGAGGGGCGATGTGTTTTTCTTCCTGCAGAAATGCCTGGAGTCAGAGGCCGGAGGAGAGCCGGAGGAGAGCCCGTCGTGTCTCTCTGCCTGTCAGGTCGACGTCGTGCCAGCGCGGCTGGATCCTGCCGATCCGACTTTAGCGGCATTTGGTGGCGGCGAGGACCTCACCGCCAAAGCGCACGAAACAATTCACAAGTCGAGGCTCTTTAACTTGCGGATTGTGGCCCGAAGAACTGGCTGAGGTTGGTGGGTCCCTCGCTTTTCTTGTTGCGGGATCTTTGAGATCTACCGTGACCGGCATTCCGGCCTAGAAATTCGGATTTCTCGTGACTCTGGTGTAATCCGCACATCACTGGTGCACGGGGCCTTCTTCTTCCCACCCGCTGTCGCATTTCGGGTTTCTCGTGGAACTCGTGTTTCTCTGCCGGAGTCTTCTTCTAAGACAGTAGCTGCACTTTATTTGGCAACTGTTGAAGTGCACTGCAAGCTGCTGTTCCACTTGGGGCTTTCCGGTCGTGAGTCGCCTTAAGAATTGCGAGGGCAGTCGGGCTGGCTCAAGGCTTTGCCGGCCATTCGAAGCACCACATACCCTGCCGTTGGCGGTCCTGCATCGCAATGAGAATCTGCAATAGTCTGTGCTTACGATTCTTCAAGTCGTGAAAGGAGCTAGACGAAGTGGTTGGCCAGCGATGTGTAGACGTCGGGAGCTCGGTCCGCAAACCCTTCCGCAGCTCCGAGCCACTGCCGAGCCACCGTGCTGTCAGGTCATCGATCCCGCGTTTGAGGCCTTCCGCGGCAACATTGCCGAGGCCCGCGAAGCCCTGCACTCCGCACCGGTGCACCATGGGGCCCCGTGTATACAGTAAAAGGCGCGGGCACGGATCGCGGAGTCCAGACCCGCCGCGGCCTCGGCAGAAAGAGAGAGAGAGACAGAGAGCTCTCCCGTAGCCATTTTGGCTCAAGTACTACACCTGCGCTTGGGGGCCTGTGCCGCCCTCTTGCACTGGGGGGGGGAGGGGGGTTAACTCGAGGTTGTGCCCTCGGGGGAGCCTTCCCTCTCAACCCGGTGGTGCTTGAGCTCCACGCCTGTCGCCACTGGCTTAAGGGGCCCCAGTCCTTTCCGCGCCTTCTCCTGAACCCGAAAGAGGCCCTTCTCCGGAAGGTGGCCCTCTAGTAGGGGGACGGAGCATACTACTTGTTTGTGGAACCGGGGGAGATCATCTTGAACTACCTGGAGGTGCCATGGCGAGCTCGAGCAAGCCACGGGGGGAGAAAGACAGACCTCCAAATGCGAAGCCACCCAAAGTTAAAACGACGTGGGAAGAGCAAACAGTGCTTGCAGCAAAACTGCGTGACATGGGGGTGACCTGCAGGGCTTGCCTTGAAGGGCCGTGGTACCACAAACCACATGACGTGGGGGAGACTTGCTACAAGCACATGATCTCCATGGGAACCGTCAGCAGCCCACTAAGTATAGCAGCCTTGCGAAAAAAGGGGGACGCCACCCCGGCTCGAGCCTCAGACTGCGAAGCCGTTGGGGAGAAGAGCAAGACGAGCCGAGATGCATCCCGCCCCCTTTCAGAATATGTCAGGTTTGAGACAAAGGAGGGGATGGCACTTCTCTACGACCCAAGCCCACTAGACAAGTGGATTGGCAAGAGTTACAGATGGGATAGCCGACGCCAGTGCCATGTGGAGACTAGCACGGGGGACGTGATATCTGCAGAAGACAGCGAGGACTTTCAGCGGTACGTACAGAGGCACAACGAGAGAAGACAGACGGGGAGCCAAGCAGATGAACTTGTGAAGCTGGTGGCTGCCTACAACCCAGCAGTCGAGGAGGAACTGCGAATATATATTGGCAGGTTCCCGGGGGAAGTCCGTCGTCTACTGGCAGAGGGGAAGAAAGTTTACAAACCGCCGGTGGATAAGCAGCGGCATGGGGGAGTATCCATTACCACCCAGACTGCCGAGCTGCGCCACCGGACGGACAAGACCAAGAAGGACGCGAAGAAGAAAAATAAGGGGGAGAAGAAAGAAAAGAAGGACAAGAAGGACAAGAAAGCCAAGAAGAACAAGCGCGATGCTCACAATGCGGGGGAGATGGTGAAGGAAAAGCAACAGCAAGACGATACCACGGCAGAGCCCCCGATCCAAGAGGAAGTGGACTGGAGGAGCGATGTCGAAGACACTGAACCTCAATCCGCATCGCGCTCAAAAGCAGACGTGGGGGAAAGTGACAGCGACGGCACGTCGCCGCCTGAGACACCCCTCCCCGGGAACTGGCCTTGGGGAGAACGAGGGCGACCTTCAGACAGAGCGAGCTCCAGCAGTGGGGGAGCACAGAGACCCCGTACGCCAAGCCGCAGCCCACGACGACGAGGGGGAAGCAATGTTATCCTGCATCCCGGACCCATGTGGGAAGCGGTGCAACAAGTACAACGACATATGCGGAGGGCCAGAATGTCGTGAAGAAAGTGCAGCAGTGTGTGACGCGTGAAAATTCGAAGGGGTGAGCGAGTGTGTTCCATGTGGGGGAGGTTAGTTTAGCGCACTTGCTTCTTGTTTCAAAGCCCACATGAACTTTCGTTTGTACCCGAAGTAGCTCCATGCAAACCGGCCTTTGTTGCTTCACTGAGTGCGGACCCTTGGAAAACCTATACTTGCAATAGGGGACGATGCACCTTGTTTCAGAACAGTCCAACAGTGTTTCGCTGAGCCTGTGGTGCGAACTCTTTAAACAGGACTAGGGGCAAGCGGCAAACCTGTCCTAGTCCTTCTCGGGTAAACTCATTCCTCGAAGCCCGTCCTGGCTTCCTAATCCTAGGCTCTTTTCAACGCACCGACCAGGTAGTTGCAGTGATCTTCCAATTCGGGGGACAAGAAGGCGCAATTCGAACACGTACATACAGTGGAAACCCAATGGGGGAACAATGCATGTTTTTCCTTCTGCCCTATGCAACCTGGAGGGGATACAGGCAGGGGGATGCAGGCTTGTTCTTTTAGCTGCTTGGCCGGGACCGTACTTTTGTTGTTGTTTTGCTGGTAGTTGCGCCGTTTGCCTGTGAGCGAACTCCGGGGAACTTTTCTTTACTCCCATGTATAGCCGAGCCCCCTGTGGAAGCATCCACCGGGGGAGAGTCAGTCACCCAGCGGACCGCGGGTGCGCGCTCGCGTGCGGAGGATTCAGCTGGACCGCTGTTTCCTCCATTTTCCTCCAGTCCCGGTAGAGAGAGAGAGAGAGAGAGAGAGAGAGAGAGAGAGAGAGAGAGCGACAGAGAGCTCTCTCCCCGCCGGGGAACCCCCCCATCCGCACCCACAGGGCGAGGTTTCTCGCCGCGGCTCCGCAGGTCGCCTCCTTGGCCCTGCGTTGCGAAGAGCGGGTGCACGTGCAGCGCCTCGCAGCCCGGGCCGCTCGGCTCAGTTTTTGGGCGCGCCCGCCGCGCCGGCCTCTTTCTCTGTGTGTATACATCGGCGCGGGGGCGGGTTCTCCGGTCGCACACCGCGGGCCTGAGGCGGTGCTGGACAACCTGACGAGCCACCGCTCTGCGCGCGACTCTTGGGCCCCCCAAAACCGCCACCGAAGCCACGAGTCGGAGTCGAGGAGACATGGCGGTCGCGGCAGGTGCAGTCGTTCCATGTCCCTGCTCGCGCAGAAGTCCAGTCGGGTGAGCGCATCCGCTTCGCGGCAGCTCCAGGGCCAGAGAGGAGGAGGGAGAGCCCCCTTTTCTTTTTGTTGCCAGGTCCAGACAAAGCTGAGCGACAGCTTGGACAAGGCCCTATGTCCTATGTTCCCAAGCCTCCCCAACAGTTCTTTTTGACGCCAGGTGGAGGTGTCCATGAAGGCTTTGGAATCTGAGCTTGCCTTAGTCCCCGAAGCCAGCGCCCTCGATGCCAAACCGGACCCTGTGCGTTGCACAAGGTTGGCCTTCATGCGGCCTTGCAAACGCAGGGCCGTGCAGCCGCCTGTGATTTCGGCTTTAAAAGCTGCGACACCTCTTCATTTCAGTTGCTTTTGCGGCCAGGCACTACGTTAGCAGACGTGATGCCGCGCGAGCGGTGCGCCTGTTCTGAGCCTGTGCTGAGTGTGATGATTGTTGCTTTGTTTCGGCTCTGTTTCTTCTCTTGAACTCGCCAGGATCCGACGCTTCACTGAAGCGCTCGAGGCGATGTAGCCCACAGACCATCCTAGACCCCACACATGAGACATCTTGCCGAAGGCGGAGAGGGCCCAGCTGATCCAGAGACTGGAAAAACTCCAGCGTCAGGCGGGGGCCGCTCCGAAGTACTGGCAACTCCCGTGCTCAGAGGCTGAACTCTTCTGCAGGACAGCCAACTGCAGGCTCTTTGTGATCAAGTGGCAGAGCGCGCACGCTGCTCAGACAGATGTCACACGGCTTGACAAGAAGTGCCGACTCAAGGTGGAGCAGTTAATTCTGGAAGACAGTGCGTGTGCCCAAGACCATCTACTGCAGACCCTCTTTTGTGGCAAGTTTTGTGATGTCTTGACGCGTGAAAGTTTGTGAAACTGTCATCACGGCTAAGCCAGACGAAGAGAAAGCCTGTTGGCCCCGTAGAGCTTCGAACCTCTCCTGGCCAACTTCTGAGCCAGACACCAGCAAAGACAGGCATCAAACACTTATCAGTACTTATCAGACTTATCATCGTCACCAGCATCCTCCCTACCATGTCCTCATGGCCAAAGGTTGGTGTTGAAGCCAAAGCGATACTGGAGGAACAGGCACGGCCTGCTGGGCGGGTCGGCCTTGTTCAGGAGCACCGAACGTTTCCGCTCACAGGGGCGTGCGCAGCGCGAGCTGCTGCCGGAGCTGCGAGCACTGGCAGGGAAGCCCAGACAAAGTTTCCGAAGAATGGGTTTGTTAGGGCTTCAGATTCGATCGAAAGCGGCCTTGCCAGGTTCCATCTGCGGGCGCGGCGCCTTCGACAGTGTTAGAGGAGAGTTCCAGCTGATATGACAAACACCGACGGCCTATATGCACTAAGACAAGAACATCAATCATCATCAATGAGTCTGTTTATAATGTGTCAATTTATAATAAGTCTTGAAGACTTGCGGCTTGGCCGCTTGCAACGGTCTGGCCAGTCTAAGCACGTCTTGGTCGACGGAATTGTGTCGAAAGTCATCAAATCAGGACGAAAAGCGTTCAGCACTTGTTCTTGATAGTGGTCGGCTCAGATCCACTGAGGCTCTATCAAAGGCACCGAGCCTGCGCAGCTGAGGTGTTAAAACCGCGTGCGCCAATGTGCGCTCATCACTAGACCAGCTGCAAAGCTGCTGGGCGCGCTCCTGAAGCGCTTTCCTGATGTCCTGTCAAGAACGAAGCACGGAGCGCAGCGGTTTTTTTGCCAGGATCGTCAACATCAAACTTTCGTACAGAGACTCCGAGAAGTGGCTTACGTACAATCCAAGGCCGGAACAGCATAGACACATGCGCGGGGTCCTTTCAGCGAATCTGTTTTCTGGTCTATTGAGACGATGCGGCGCACCCGTGGGAAGGTACGGTATGTGGAGAGGCAGGCCGCGCTGTTGGAGGAGGAAGTCAATGCACGCGGCCTGGACTGAGGGTGTGCCACATGCTAGCGTCGAAGCCAACCCCTGATTGCAGATGCACCCGTGTACACGTCAGTTCTGCTGCTTTAGCAATCCCCGATTCCCTTATGGGCATGCGGCAACCCATCCAGAACTTGCCGACTCCTGCGACTTGCCCACCCGACTGTGGTCCCGCTTGTTCAAGTCTGGCAATTTGCCGCGTCGTGCGACTTCAGAGCGATGACTCCTCAAAGCGGATCGCTCAGGCACAGTCCAACAACTCTCAGCAGCTGAATCGATTGCAAAAAATGCCACGGGCAGCGGGCTTGGCTTCTCTACCGAACCAGTGCAAGATTTCAGACATATCCACCGCACAGGCGTACAACAGCACGCTCCGAGAAGTAGCCCTGAGACGACAGTTTCGAGCTCGCAGTGCACCCAGTGCGGTTGGCACGTTGATCTCAAGGTCGATGCCGAGCTACCGAGGTTACCTTGCCCAGTGTGAAAAAGCCCTCACCACACTTTCAAGGACCGGCAGAACGCCAAAGACGGAAGGCTATCGAGCGATTCTGCACGCGCCGCGCGTGTGTTCTGCAGGATGGTGGAAGTGGAGAACAGCAGGTCTCCCGGGCTAGAGCTGGATGCGTTTGCAAAGAGCTGGCAGCTTTCTTCACATGCGCCAATATGGACCGACAGATAGGCACAGCGACAGAACCAAGCAGACAGCCAAAAACACAAACAAATACACACAGACACACACACACACAGAGAGACACACACACACAGACACACACACACACACAGACACACGCGCGCACACACACACACAACACACACACACACACTTGGTAATTCATCGCGCAGCCACTCATCAATTGTT